ATGACAATATAGATATGATGTTGTTTGATTTATATTTATTATTTATGTGTTTATTAAATTTTGTTTTATTATTTCCTTCCTTCTTTTTTTTTTTTTTTTCTTTTTTTTTTTTTGTTTTTTTACCTGAACGTTCAGGTCAATTTGGGCCCATTTGTTTTCATGTCGTTGTAGGTTTTCTTTTCTTAATTTCACATAAGGATAAAAAAAAGAAGAATTATATATATATATATATATATATAAAGTAAAATGAAATATAAAAATATTTATATTTTTTTACCTTTTATTTTCTATTTTGATATATTCCTTTAATTTTTGTTTTTCCCTAATTTTAAAGTCTTCGTATGCAGCGTCAGATTTCCTCAAGTATTTATTACATTCTATAAAATGATGAATATATATATATATATATATATATATATATATATATATATATATATATATTGTATGATTAAAAACGGATGTGTAATGTATAATTTTATTATAAGATATATGTATGTTAAGACGCAAACATGTACATACATACAAATATATATGTATATATATATATATATATATATATATATATATATATATATATATTATAATTACCATCGTTATTAAACCTTTTGTCAACTATTAGGTTATCCACAACAACATTTTTTACATGTTTTTCATTTCTCTTTATGATTCTTTCTTTTTCGAATTTATCCCTATGTATCATTGCTATGTAGAATATATATAAATATATATTTATGACAATGAGCATATAAAAAATAAGAATTGTACATATATATAAATGTATTATTTGTGTATATGTTTTATTTGTAGTATGAATTATTTAAAATATTTTGAATTGATGAAACGAATATGTTGTCTAATGATATTGTAATATTAAAAATGTTTTCTTAAATAATAAATATGCGTTTAAAAAAAAATTAAATAAAATAGAAGATAAAATATACTATGATGAAAGATCATTATAATAAACAATACTTTATTTTTTAATTTTTCATTTTTTCTCTTTCGTTTGTGCTGTCTTTTTTTTCTTTTTTTTTTTTTTCTTTCTCTCTTTACTTTAAAACTATAGGAAAATATTTTTGTCGCAAATTTATTATGTATATAAAAAATAAATTAATCATATTAACGAGATTAATAAAAATGTAGAAAGATTTTCTTTATATTTACCTATTTAATTCTTTTAATTTTTTTTTTTCTTTTTGACTGTGTTCTTTGAAAAAGTTAAAAAAATATAATATAATATAATAACAATATCAATACAAATAAATATACATAAAATATGTATAAATATATATATATAAGTTATGTATTATGGATTAATCTTTCCTTCGGTACTTATTTTATACTATCTGGTTATGCTGACCTTTTTAATATAATATATTATTATGGTTGTCTATTTTTTTATTTTTACATATTTCATGTCAAAAATGAATATTCAGCATTACACATATATATAAACATATACATATATATATATATAACCACACTTGTATACACGTTTATTCTTTTTATGAAACTTTTTTTTCAAGTAAAAAAAATAATATACTACTAACGTTAAACAATTAGTTACATTTTACATAGACATCATTATATATATATATATGTGTTTATGCATATTGGTTTACATTTTTGTTTTTTTCTTTTCATATTTTTATTTTTATTAAACGATTTATTATAATATAGTTATATTACTGTATAAAAATATATGTATATATAAAGAGAAAATAATTATATACATATATATATATATATATATATATATATATATGCACAAAATATTTTAACAAATGTATTTAAAAAAAGGAAGAAAAAGCAAAGAAAAATATATAAATTATAATAATAAAAAAAAAGAAAAAATTAAAATGAAATGAAAAAAAAATTAAATCTATACTTTTCGTAATATATATATATACATATTTATATGCTACGAATAATTTGTGGGATTGTTACATTGAACGATATATTATTATAAAATTGTGAGAATAAATGAGAAAAAAAAAATATATATAATAATAATACTTGGTAACATATATATAAGTATATATATATTTATACATATAGTATATAAAAACTATAAAAAAAAAAAAAAAAAAAAAAAAAAAAAACTATATTTTTTGTTCTTTTACTTTATTTTTTAAACTAAAATATTATTCAGATTTTATTTTCTACACTTACTCAATAGGTATATTATATTATAAAAAAGAATCTATATATCCATATATATATATATATATGCATATACATATATATGTATGTATATATGTATTTTTGTTGGTGGTCTGATATATTATCATAATAATATTAAGGTGTAATATATATATGAGTGATAATAATATAATATGTTTACATAGTTACGTATGTCTACAAACATAAATAAATACATATATATATATATATATATATATACATGTTTGTATTTGTCTTATTTTGTTATATATATTTGGTTTTTCAATATTTTTCTTTTTTTTTTTTTTTTTTTTTTTATAGAATTTTTAATTTTTTTTTTCTCATATAATTTAAAAGAATCAATAAATTATTATAAAAAAAAAAAAAAAAAAAAAAAAAGATAAAAAAAAAAAAGATAAAAAAAAAAAAATCTAATTATAAGTATACATCGAATTATAATATTATTGTGCATATTTTTGTGTCCAAGCTTTAGCAGTTTGATGATATTTCGTTCGGTCAGTTTTATACACGTGAGCTATTTCTGGAACTAAGGGGTCATCTGAAATGAAATAAATATAAAATATAATATATATAAAATTAATATTAATGTATATCTATCTATATCTACATATATATATATATATATATATATATATATATATATATATATATATATATATATATTAAAAGCTTGAAAAATTATTGCATACAATAATTTTACCTGCATTGGGGTCTGTTAGTAAAGAGGAAATTGAAAGTAGAACTTTTGATATGGTTAATGCTGGACTCCATTGATCTTTTAAAATATCAAGACATATTGCTCCTGCTGTATTTATATTTGGGTGATATA